CTGCATGTTGCAGACACAGTCTTACTCCTACACAAAGACATTCATTTGTCTCAAACTTACTGCTGGCTTCTGCAAACAACGATCAATAATGTTCTCCATCCGCCTTTTCACAAAATGCAGTGATTTTCGAGGATAATAAGGAAACAGCAATGGACTTTCTGTTTTCAAAGGAAAAATGGAGGGGGGAATAAAAAAAGCTATAGCAAACCAGTGATTAGGAGAAAATAATCTGCTGGGAGACCCAGCCTCAGAGCTCCTCTCAGGGCAGAACACCCACTGACCACTTCATTATACTCTGGCACATCCTCAGCAAACACACCCATGGCCTTCTGTCCATCACCATCCCCCATGGCCAGCCCCCTAAAACCAACCACAGTCATCCAAAGCTTCGCCCTACCAACTTACTATCCTTTAGCCTACCTCTCCCAGCAAGATCCAACAGTATGCTTCTTTGGTTATGAGAAGAAAGGAAAGATTTGGGAACCGTAAGACATATAATGAAATTAAGGTTTATCTTTCTCTAGCCCTTGCCATAACAAAATGACAACAGCCGTCCAATATAGTTCTGGAGGAGTATGACATTAAAAACAAAAACAGGAGGCAAGAAACAAATTCTCTAAATAAACTCTTTACTATTCAAAAGGCTGCTCTGTCAGTAGAAATTAACAGACAATTTAACATTCACTGACGGCCTATTCTGCCCGGTTCTTGTTTATGCATGCTATTCTCATTTCCTGCAAAGCAAGTATCATATTCTCAAATTTACAGGTTAAAAAAAAAAGAGAGAGACAAGGAAACTTAAGAGAGGTTAGGCAGCTGCCCAGTGTGAATGACTAAGTGTCTAGAACCAAACCTAAAGTTTGTCTCCAAAGCCTACCCCCCAAAGGTCTCCCTGACATAAACGTATCTCACAGCCCAGGTGTGTGAGGTAAAATGAATCTTAATCATGTTAACGTTTTAAGCTCCCCACAGGTGATAAATTCTACAATATACAGGAAACTGCCACTGATAATCAAGTGCTAGCATCCACTGACTACTTACTATGTACCAGGCACTATTCCCAGTTTGTCTAGATGAACTAACTTACTCTTCCCAACAGCTTTTTGAGGGAGGCACTATTATCACCCTCATTTTACAGATGAGAAAACTGAGGTAGAGGTTTGGAAATTGCCCTTGTCTCATTCCTAGGGAACAAAAGAATGCGACTGCAACCTCGGCAGCCTGGTCTCCAGAAGCCCCTCTCTTATCCATCCAATAGGACTCTCTAATGTACCCTAAGCTTTAGCGGCACAGTCCTCAAGGCTCTTGACTGTTAACCAGAAGGTTAACCAACCGCTCCATGGAAGGAAAATTGGGCAATCTACTTCCATCAAGATTTACCACCTTGGAAACCCAATGTGGGTCACTATGAGTTGGAATTAACTCGATGGCAGTGGGTTAATGTACCCAAAGAAAATATATGTACCAACAGTGTATACTTGATTTTTGTACTGGGAAAAAGTCAGATTATTTTCTTAATAGCTCCATAAAGGTGATTGGTATGACTTCAAATCAGACTGAGAAACTGGGAGATTAATGAGTTTGTTCAAACTTACCTACTAGCAAAATCTTGAGCATTTAAAAGGTTGAATTAATGTGAAATGCCTTCTTGGTTAAACATGACTAGCGTCAGATCAGGCCTTTCCAATTTGGACATAAAGGTGTGAGGGGAAAAAGATAAAGACTTCTTCAGCCCAAGAAAGTGCTGTGGACATTGGCCCTCCAGACAATCTCCCTTACACCCTGGCCATCCTGATTAAACAAAGGAAATGAGCTCAGTCTGCTGTACCTTTATTCTCACTCCATTCGACAGCAAATTGGCATCACTGCATCTCTCTAGTAATCTTAAGACTCTGACACAGTGCAAACTAGGTCTGACTCTGAAAAAGAGCCAGGAGCAAAGTCTTGGGCCTCAGAGAATTCTCTCAGGTACAAACAGTACACAAAAAACCACAATCTCAGAAGAATCCATTTAAACTTCATTGTGCTTTTAGAAGTTAACAAACTGTAATCAGCAAAACAGACTTTTCTCACTGGGAGGCTCTCCAGTCAGGAGCTCTGGTGGCATAGTGCCTAAGGCACCTGATTGCTAACCAGAAGGCTGGCAGTTCAAACCCAACCAGCCTCTCCTCAGAAGGCAGGTTGGACAATCTATTTCCATAGTGATACCGCCTCGGAAACCCAAGGGGGAAGTTGCTATGAGTCAGATCTGACTCCACGGCAGTGAGTTTGATAGAAAAAGC